GCTTTGGAGACCAGGCTGGCCTCGAACTCACAGAGATCCGCCTGCCTCTGCCTCCTGAGTGCTGGAATTCAAGGTGTGCGCCACCACTGCCTGGCCACAGGTCTTGTCTTGTAGCCCAGGCTGATATGGATCTACACTGATTCTCTGCCTCAGCCTTCTGAGGGCTGGGATTTCCAGGCGTGTTCTATCAGGTCAGGCCTGGCAGAGTCTAGAAGATTAAACAAGGCCGTATAAACAAGCAAGAAACTGCTAGAGAAAGGCGTAGGACCATGAAAAAGAGGGGTCAAAGGAGCAGAGTCCAGCTCAGAGAGGGTCTGAAGACTAACACAGTAAGACCTGAGAGGGGAGCTGACCTTGGTCTGACCTTGAAGGTGCTTAGGACTTGGATAGGTCACAGACCTTCACTTGAAGGGTTATAATTATGAATGCTTCCAGGGCTATCCCTTGTTGATCCCAAGAGGTACTGAGGCAGGAAGAGCATAATTGTCCTCATGTCTCAAAGTCACTCCTCTGGGCTCACTAGGTGGAAGGCAGTAGAGCCATGACTTGAGCCAAAGTTTTCTGATTGTGGAAAGAAGAGAGTGGACAGCTTTATGTCCTCTGGTACCCAATCCATCATGTCCATCAAAAGGTAACCCACAGCTTGCTCACAAACGTAGCTTAGATTCTCTTTCTCTTGGAAGGCTTGATGGCTAGGAGGAAACTTTCTCTTGGGGTGAAAATTCAGGTCTCCCCTCAAAGCAGTAAGTGTCACACTCTGGGGTATACACACAACCCCAGCCTCTCCTGCTGCTGAGGCAAAGGACAGACTCTTCCATTTTCTGAATCTTAGGCCCCTTAACAGTTTGGAGGAAAGGCTGGGCTGGACATTTATTATTATTATTATTATTATTATTATTATTATTATTATTATTATTATTAATCTTCATCATCATCGTTGTCCTCATCGTCATCCTCATCCTCATCCTCTTCCTTCTTTTTCAGGAGCAAATTTATCAGAAGCTGGTCTAGAGGAATACTAAGGAAATCTTTATCTCAAATATCTATCTTCAAGGGCTTTTAGGGATACAAGGGGTTATGGTAAGACAGTGGGTGGGAAATCCCAGGGGTGGGTCAAGTATTTCTCATTAAAGGGCCTCCCTCTTCCTCCTTTCCCCTGATACCCAGTGCTGAGGATGGGACTCAGGACCTAGCCCATGCTAGGCAAGAACTCTACCACTGAGCTGCTCTACCCTCTCACCCCCTACCCCCGCTACCACTTCTTGAAAGTCGCTCTGCTTCTGGCCTCCTGGGACATCTGCATTTCTTTTTCAGATGAACCAAGTCATGAGAAGAAAAAAAAAGGGGGGGGGGGGGGCTTCCAGAGAACGTTCCGGACAGCTAAAGATAAGGGAAAGGTGGTAGAGAAAGGGTCGGGGGACAGCCTGAGTGAGGCAGAAACTGGCGAGAGAAGCTAGGTGGCCTGTCTTAGCTCTAACGGCATCCTCTCAGGGAAGCCAGCCTATAGTCTAGATTGCGGGCTAGTGGGGCTAGGGTCCTTTCCATCACTTCACCAACTGCTTTCCAGACTTGTGTGTGGCTGAGGACAAAACCTGAAAAATGTCAGTTGCAGAGCCCGTGAGCTGTGGTGGCCTGTGCCTGTAATCTTGATGCCCAAGAGGCAGATATAGGGAGGCCAGAAGTTCGAGGTCAGCATGGGCTCCAGAGCGAGATTGCTATCTTAAAAAAAAAAAACACAAAAAACCAAAAAACCAAAAAACCAAAAACGAAACCAAAACAGAGCAAAAATTGCAGGGCCCTTGGCTCAGCCCTTAGCAGCGACTCTTAGTACAAGGCCTATTGTATAACAAGCCACCTGGGTGATTTGAAGGCATAAGTGGGTTTGGGGGTTGCTGGGAAGGATCATACCCCCCTTCAGAACCCAATGCCTTTATCACTGGAAAACTCTGCATATTAAAAGTATTGTTTGCCTATGCTGGGCGGGAATTACTGCTTTGTTAGGGTCACATAAACTGATGCTTATTTCTCTCATTCATTTAGCCCCAGATCCAGGTTTTTCTTTTTATTTAGCCTCATATCATTTAGATGCCCCCAAAGAGTTACTGCTCATGCCTTGAGGTGATGCGCACAGGGCTGCGTGCATCCGGCACTGTGACTTCCATATAAATGAGATGCTGATGTATGAGTATGAGAGAGCACTAGCCAAAAAGACCCCATGGGGAGGTGCGGTTCAGGGGTATAAATCTGAAATTAAATTATCTTGAGAAAATTACAATCCGGTTGCCGTTGGCAGCGGGATAATGTATATATTTCATTAAATATTAAAGTTTAATTTTGCTTTTGTGTATGTGTTTGCATTGGGCTATGCCCCTGATCCTGGAAGCCACTGCAGAATACAGAGCCTTAGGCGAGGCAAAGCCTCAGAGCTGGGAAGGCCTGGTCTTTCTCCTTGCATCCCTCTATGGATGCTAAGACAGGGGCTCAAGCCCAGGAAGGGATCTCTCAGGAGGTACATAGGTTGGATAAGTGGTCTTAGTGCTATTTACTTCTGTACTAGAGTGTGAACTGACTTTGGGCTCTGCAGACCAAGCGTCTGTAGTTCTTGGCCACCTCAGACTTCAGGCTGGCCAGAAGCAGGTTGCTCGTGTTGTACAGGCAAGCTGCTGAGGGAATAATTGCTGAGGTTTCAAATTGTGTGTGTGTGTGTGTGTGTGTGTGTGTGTGTGTGTGTGTGTGTGTGTGTATGAGTGTGTGTGTAGAGGGCTTTTAGAGTCTGGGCTGCATGGCTGTTTTAGGAATGCTGAGGTTTTCCTGGGCTTTCAGGAGTCTTAAATCTTTGAGTCTGAAGTGGGATAAGGAGAGGAGACCAGGTACAGTAGGCTTCGCTTTCTGCTATAATCTTAAGGGAGAGGAGCAAAGCCCTACTTCTAGCTCCTGGGAGGGGCACATGAGACAACCTTGCTTCTAGCCAGGCATAGGCTGAAGGGGAGCCCAGTGGGGAGTAGGAAGATGTCTAAGAGATTATGTAGTCCTGTAGATTTGGGACTCAAGTGTTCTAAGTAAGAGAGGCACAGAGGTGCATGCTGTAATCTCAGTACTTAGGAGGCTGAGGCAGGAGGATCTTGACTTTGAGTTTCAGCTTGGGCTACACAAGCTTATTGAGGGCCTTCTGTGTGTGAAGTATGGTGGCATGCACAAAGAATAGCCCTTGAACCTTGGAGAAACTCTTTGGAGCATCTGTATAGTATGAGGATAAATACAAAGGAAAACCTGGACCTTGGCCTCAATGAAGGAGGAAAATAGGCCTCTGTTTAGGTGACTCTACCATTTGACAAGAATGAGTCCTGGAGAAACAAGACGGTGATACGGTGAAGTTCTGAAAGAGTCCACCAGGGGGCGTTGTGGACTGAATTCCTAAAAAAAGACTAGCTAGGTGCAATTGGTGCACCCTGGTGGCTAAGGTCCGTTCCCTCCTCTGCCAGAATGTGTTTGGCTTAGCCAATGGTATTCTCAAGAGATGTTATTTAGTGTCAGTTTCAGCGATTTTGACATAGAACCTCAGACTTAAGTCCTGTCTTGGAGGACCTGACTAACCACACAGTTTTCACTCCTTCCTGGAAGCCCTGGGCAGGAACTGAGAAGGAGTGGACCTTGCATGGGACTCGGGATTTCTATATTTTACTTATTTATTTATTTGGAGAAAGAGAAGAGAGAAGGGTGAGGTAGAGGTTGGGTGTCTCTGACTATTGCTCAAAACCTTATCTTTTGAGACAGGATCTCTCAGGGAACCTAGATCTCATCAACTGGGTGCTGGCTGGCCAGACATCTGCCTATGTCTGCTTGTCCAGAGTTAGTGTTGCAGCCAGGTGTGGCCGTGCCTGGCTCTTACATCGTGGTGTCAGAGATCTGAACTGCAGGGACTTTTAACTCACTGAACCTTCCCTCTAGTCCCCCCAGTTTTCCATATTTTTCTTATTTTCATCATGTTCCACCCTTCTTGTAGCATCTGTCACCCCTCCAGGCGTTTGAGATTTCAACTTGGCGAAGTACTCCAGCCAACTGTACTACCAAGTGTCCTGTCCCTAGGAGAACCAAGATGTGCTGGCTAGTTTTATGTCAACTTGACACAAGCAAGAGGCATTTGGTAACCTCAGTTGAGAAAATGCCCCCACCAGCTTGACCTGGGGTGTATTTTCCTAATTAGTCATTGAAGTAGGTGGGCCTAGTCCACTGTGGATGATGCCACCCTTTGGAAGGCAGTCCTAGGGTATATAAGCAAGCAAACTGAGCGAGGCAGTAAGCAGCACTCCTCCATGGCCTCTGCATCAGTTTCCGCCTCTAGGTTCCTTCCTGGAGTTCCTGCTCAGCTTCCCTCAGTGATGGACTGTGATGTGGAGGTGTAAGCTGAACCAAATTCCCTTTTCCCTGCCAAGTGGGTTTTGGTTATAGTGTTTATCACAGCAATTGAAACCCCAAGAAACAAGACTGTGGTAATGATGATGGAGGGGTGGTTGGGGGCCAGTGAAGGGGCCGTTAGGGAAACAAGGCTGGGAGGTAGGCCTGAGCACAGTCCCCCCAAGCTTCTCCCAGATTGTTTTCTGTCTGCAGAGACTTGTGGACAGGGCAGTCAGAGAAGGGAGTGTGGGGAATGGGATGAGGGGTGTGGGGAGGCAAAAAAGGCAGACATTAGATAACTGGTTCCAGCTGTCACACACATCTTTGCTCTTGGACTTGAGCCACAGGAGTGACAAGGAGAAACACCCGGAAACAAGAATTGATCTCATGGATGTTGGTTCTTGGAATAAGATTTTTACAGGGTGCTGTGTGGAAGGTTGGGGTGCACAGAGTCCCAGGAGCTTCTTGAAGCCGTGTCTATAAGATTCAAGTCACTGAAGACAGCATTCAAAGGCATCAGAGAGCACAGAGCCCTGATCTCCTCTTGTTATTGGCACTAAGGTCCCAATGGGACCATGAATGCAGGGAACTTTGTCCAACTGCCTGGACCAGCATGTGTAATTTGGCAGTGATGGACCCTGAACATGTTTTGTTTGAATTTGCATGATCCAGGAATTGGGAATTTCTTGGAGAACTCAGTTTGGGGTCTTCTTGGACTATTGGCTCATCTGGCCACATGGGGCCCACATTCCCATAGGGGACCTACAGGCTGGGGGCAAGGGGAGCCTTCGTCATTCACAGGAGCCTGTGGCTCTTTTTATCCACTGTCTCTACCTGGTGGTGTCTGACCTTTGTCTGGGACGACTCATCCTGAATGTGGGCAGCCCCACGTCATGGGCTTCCATCCTGGACTGAACAAAGAGAAGCAAGGCAGATGAACCTCTGCTTCTGGATTCAGGCCCTCGAATGGGTCTTCACCATCAGATGGACTGTGTCCTCCGACTGTGAGCCCAAACAACCCCTCCTTCACCAGGTGGCTTTTTGTCACAGCAAGGAGAAGAGAAATCAGGACTCCCCCAACTTCAGTGAACATGTGAAATGACGAGTCTCATTTACACGAGGAATTCACGAAATTGTTTGTTAGTCTGTGGGAGCCTCCTGCAGGTGGGTTTGAGTAGGAGGGCCCCTTCTAGAACAAACAGAAGTGATGCTCCTTGGGTCAAGGCCAAGGTGGACCAGCTCCTCATCTGTGTCTCAAGATGCCTGGCAGAAACCTAAAACCCCAAGAATCATGCCTCATGACTGTACACGCAGCCAAGCCTGCATTGCAGAAATGTGAAAACTGAGACCCAAAGGGAGGAGCTTGTCCCAGCTCACAGAGGAAGCTCGTGCTTCAGCCAACACTTGACCCACATTCCTTGTTTGACCGTCTATGACACTAGACATAGTGAAATAGACCTAATTCATTTACTGACTCCCAGAAACCAGAGGTACCATTGAGTCAAATTCTCTGAGGCTCTGTCTGGACTTGTTGGGAAAAGAGATTGCATCGATTAGCAATGTCTGCCTTGGGTGGAGAAGAAAGTGTGTGTGGGAGGGTCACAGCATGTGTATATCATGGGAGAGCATTCCTGTGAATATGAAAGAAATGTTTTCCTACCTTTAAAGTTGGGCCTGATCCTGGCGTCATACCCAGAAGTCCTCCCCATGAGCTTATCCAGGAAGTCGGAGGGCGACATAGGCTTGGGTGCAGAGCGGGCAGCGTCAGCCTCCTTGGAAGCCGCAAGGCTAGGAAGAGAGAGAGAAGAAGCACAAGGTCGACGGTGGCTCTTCTCCAAGCTCCGATCAGACCCTAGCCTTGTCCAGCCATGTAAAACCCCTGGAGTGCTCTGAGCTTGAGCTAGGTCTTTAAGGAGGAAGGCACAGGCCACACTGTTTATCCAGCCCCAGTGGAAGTCAGCATCTGACAGGTTGGTAGGTCTCCGACTCCTCCCAGCGTCTGAGACCATGAGTCATCACAGAGGCTGTTGGGTCTCCTTGGGAGAGGAGGCTGAGGAGTTGGATCTGGGTCTCCCTTGAGGAGAACAGTGAGGGGTCAGTCTGGCTGACTCAGCTCTGCCTTGGGTAGCTGCCTTCTCACAAGTGCGTGGGCTATTGAAGGATCTCAGAGATAACCATTTCCTTTTAAGTTCTTCTTAGAATCAGCTATCGTACGTAAAAATAAGTAAACAGATAAAAAGTTGCTACAGTCAAATGCATTTGGAAATACAAATTCAACCCCCTGACCTTTTGCAGGCTTATACACTTACGCACAAGAATGCTTACATTACAAAATAAGCATTTTAGAAATCCACCATTAGAAACTGGAGGTGGTGCATGCCTGTAACCTCAGCACTCTAGAGGCTTAGGCAAGAGGATTGCTGTAAGTTTGAAGCCATCTTGTGCTACATAGCAAAAACTACCCTGCCCCCCACCCCCCCCCCAAAAAAAAAAAGAAAAAAAAGTGACTTCCTTGAGAAGCCCACCTCCATGCTCATGGGTGTCTTTCTTTCTGAGCACTTCTCTTTTTCTTAACCCTGTGCTGAAAGTCTAGACTAAAATATCTTTAATAACTCACATCACTGCTAACAAAAAGTTGGGGGTGGGGTGGGCAAAGTTGAGGCAGCGCGGTGGAAGGTTCACCACGGATTCCAGAGTTGATCAGTTGATCCTTGGTACCAGGAGTTGGGAGGTTGGAAAGCAAGTGTATACTCCAAGGTATTTCTGTCAGGCCTCTTTCCCTAACAAGGTAGGTTAGTAATGTCTAAGCAAAGTCCCAAAGGTGCCCAGATCTCAATGTGAGTCACAGTTGGAGCCATGGGGGTTGAAGCGAAATCACTTGGGTTGCTTTGGGTCCCTAAAAGACATGAAGTCTACAGCTATGCTCACATGGAGGGGTCCATATGCTGCCCTGGCAGAGGCTGTGGGTCTTCAAAGATCGAGGAAACACAGAAGCAGGCTGAGGCGCGCACTTTGTGTGTGTGTGTGTGTGTGTGTGTGTGTGTGTGTGTGTGTGTGTGTGTGTGGTGTGTGCATTAGCCGTGAGTCCCCAAGTGTCCATCCTGAACTGGACTCATTCTTTGCTCACCCCTCTTTCTTGAACCTTTGTCTTCATTGCTGGGGACGGACCCCAGGGTCCTGCACACATTGGGCGGGCATTCCAGCACTGACCGCCTCATGCCTCACCCTCGCCCAACTCCTTCTCTGTTGGTGTCCCTGCTAATTGTCTAGTGATCTGCTGTCATGGCTGCTGCTCAACTCTGTGCCTTACCGTGGCAGGGCATGTCCCTTTTCCTTCATGTCCTGCTGCAGCCCAAGTTTACCCTCCAGACTCCAGGCCACTGCTTTCTTTCTGACTCTACCACCATCTCTGCTTCCTAGGACTCCCAGTCGGGGTCTCCTGTGTCTGCATTTTCTTCTCTTCCTCACTCACCATGTCCTGTTAAGCCACGAGACAGCTGTGATACATTTATTTACAGGGTTGTGTTTCCCGCCTCAGCTTCCTATATGACGGGATCCCAGACATGCACAGTTACACTGACTTTAGAATCTATCTATCTATCTATCTATCTATCTATCTATCTATCTATCTATCTATCTATCTATCTATCTATTTATCTAGTGTGTGTGTGTATGTGCATATGCATAGTGATCAGAGGACAACTTGAGGAAATAATTTTTTTTCTGTCCATCTTGTGGGTCCTGGGGATCGAACTCAGGCAATCACACTTGATGACAAGAGCCTTTACCCAGTGAGCCACCTGCTAGTCCCAACTGTTTGTTTTTGAAACTGTATCTGTTTATATCCAAGGGCAGGGATCACATAATTTTCTTTTATTTATTCCCTATTTGTTCTCTAATCCCCCAGGTGTCTACCCTGATGTCTCAAACTTAATTGGTGCTCAGCAATTGCATGGTGACTGAATGATGATCGAGACACTCATTAATTAATCAAATATACCTGCTAATAGGAAGTGTTTGTAAATATTGGTACATGGGTTAACAATTTAAAAATGATTAGACTATTATACACAGTAATAAAAACGCAGACACAGTCTGGTATTTCTTAGGAGATTTGCAAGGCATGCTGGGATTTCCTGGACATCCTTGCTCAGGCTCTGAGAATGTTCTATTCAAGTCTCAAAGAGCTGTCCTGGACTGATGAAGGACATTGCCATTGTTTGTATGTGGCTAGTGGTGCCGCTGGGGTCCTGTGATGGGATAGCCTTCTGCGTGTGTTGATGGGGGTGCCATGTATCCCAAAGGGTGGTGTGTAACAGCTGTGCACAGAGACTAGAGTGTGGATGTGGAGGAGATAATATCACAGAGCTTGGTGTGTGCAAACATGAGGGTACCTGTATCTGTGACAGGTTAGGGCCATCTGTAGTCACGTGGGGCTCAGTGTGTACAGGGATGAGTGAACTCTGACAACTGTTGATGCATATACCATACATGTTTGTTTTCCTATGCATTGTAATATATAATGTAGTAATGGCTTCCATACCTACTGCCTGTGTCACCCCAGGAGGGAGAGGCAAGAACTGAGAGAGAGCCATGGAGGAACACTGCTTGGTGGCTTGCTCCCCATGGTTTGCTCAGTTTACTTTCTTATACACTCCAGGACCACCTGCCCGGGGATGGCACTGCCCATGGTGGGCTGGACCCTCCCTATCAATCATTAATCAAGAAAATGCCCCATAGGCTTGCTGACAGGCCAATCTGAGGGAGACAATGCCTCAGTTGAGATTCTCTCTTATTGAGTGATTCTAGGTTGTGTCAAGTTGACCATCAAACCTCACCAGGATAGGGACCGTATCAGCCAGGACAATGACAGCCACATGTAAAGGGGAGTGTTTTGTGTCCCGGTGCCTCTGCTGCTTGCCATTGTTTACAGCCTGAGGTTGCCCTCACTGACAGGGGAGAGCTGTGTAGGAAGCGTTATAGATACACTCAGACTTAGTGATGACTGTCTCTGAGACGATGGGAGCAGCTGAGAGAAAACTGATTCAATAATGATTCAAGCTGGCTGTGGTGCTACACCCCTACAATCTCAGGACTTGAGAGGTTGAGGCAGGGGGATTGTTACAAGTTTGAGTCCAGCTTGGGATACAGAGTGAGATCCTATCTGGGGGAAAAAAAAAGAAAAAAGAATGGGGCCAGAGCTGGCTCACTCGTTAAGGTACTTCACTGCTCTATCAGAGGGCCCAAGTTCAGATACTAGCACCCACATCAGGTGGCTCACAACTGCCTGTGACTCCAGCTCCTAGGGATCCAACACCCTCTACTGTCCTCTGTGGACACACATACATGTAAAATAAATCTTAAAAACCCTGTCCCCCAAAACAAAAAAGACACAAGCAAACAAAAACAAACCTAAGTTCAACATTATTGTGTGTGTTCAACAACAACCTCCAAATCTCCAAAGTTTCCTAATATTTCCCCAGAAACGAAGGCTCCATCATTGATGCCAAAGTGGTCATTTCCCTGTACCTGATAATCCTCGTCCATTTCTGCCTCTGTTTGGACAGTGCAATTTGCACAGGATTATTTTAAGCCTCTCTCCCATCTTCAGTGGATCTGTGCTCTGGGCATCTGTGGATAGTAAACACACTGCATTTGGAGTCACTGTCTCTGGGGACTCTACAGAGGCGGGACGAGTCTGACAGTGAGGCACCTGGCCACGTATAAGTACTAGGAAGCAAGGCAAATTACTTCATTTTTTAAAGAAAGATTTACTTTATTTTAGATTGTGTGTGTGTGTGTGTGTGTGTGTGTGTGTGTGTGTGTGTGTGTGTGTGTGAGAGGGCGGGGGAGAGCAGGTGTCCATGGTATCCAGAAGAGGGCATTGGATCCCTTAGAGCTAGAGTTATAGGTAAGCTGCCTGACAGGGGTGTTTGAAACTGGACTAGGGCCCTCTTTGAGAGTAGCAAGTGCTTCTTAACGCTGATCCATCTCTCCAGCCCCCAGACAGATCTGATGAGTCCTAATTGACAGAAGGTGAAGGGTCCTCTGTCCCATGGAAAATTTTTTTCAGTAGATGCATCTTTGGACAGAACATGGGGAATCTGACATCTGCTCAGGGCATGTGTCCCACCAGGGGCCTTAAGGCATCTTAGTTGTGACTCCGAATGGCAGATACCATGTGCATCTGTTTGATTCATTTTTTTTTTTTTGTCAACTTGACACAAACTAGTGTCACCTGAGAAAAGGGACTCTTAACTGAGGAATTTCCTCATTAGACTGTCCCGAGGCATGTCTGTGGGGGCATTTTCGTGATTAATGATTGATGTGGGAGGGCCCAGCCTGTCGTGGGTGGTGCCACCCCCGGGCAGGTGATCCTGGGTTGTGTAAGAAAGCAGGCTGGGAAAGTCAGGGGAAGCCAGCCAGCCAGCAGTGTTCCTCTATGGCCTCTGCTTCAGTTCTTGCCTCCAGGTCCTGCCCTGAGTTCCTGCCCTGGCTTCCCTTGCTGATGGACTGTCATTTAGTGAGCCAAAAAAGTCATTTCTTCCCTCAGGTTAATTCTGGTCAGAGTTGTTTATCACAGCGACAGAGAGAAGACTGGCCAGCATGCAAAGGCTTGAGCACAGTGTTCAAGCTGTGAGGCAGGGTAGTGGAAGAATGCGGGGACTGTGGAGCCTTGGCTGAGCCACTTCTGGTGTTCAGGTGCCTATGATCTGAAATGAGTGGCTTAGTATGAGGAGGGCCCAAAGCCCCAAAGCACCATCTTATGAGTTTGCAGTATCATGCAA